GGCTTCATGGACTGAACATAAAATACCCTCATTTTCAAGTCATTAAACGTGTCAAAGGAACTTCCTACATTCATCCAGAGTCTTAGGGAAAAGCTAGGGTCTGATCAGAGATCACACGGTCCCACATTCCCGCTCATGGATACTGTGGCACCGCGGGACCAGAGGCTCCCGTGGGAGGGGAGTTAGGGTTCCGGCTGCCGTGGGGTGGCACGGAGGTGGGCTTACTAGTTACTTCTCGAGGTTTAACCCACCCCATGGGAGCTCCCTTTACTCCAGGCGAGGAGTTCTCTTCCGCAGCCCATAAAAGCCAAGCACACGCGGACGGGCCCTCGCACACCCGTGGGGGCCTGGTCTGCTTCTCTGCCTCTGCAGGTTCACGGGACACGGAGGTGCGAGTTCACGCCCCTCCCCACACACAGAAGGGGTGTGACAGTGACTCCATGGCAGATGGCGCCCTGAAGGGCTGCTCCCGCCTCTAAACACGGCTGTCCCCAGGACGGGTCCTGAGCTCCTCGCCGTGCAGGGCCAGGGCTGACTGAAGACTTCGCCGTGGTCGTGGTCAGTCGCGGCAGGCGTTCCTCCAAGGACCGTCTCCCTCCAATCTGCCCCTGTCCTTCATCAGCGCCCAAGTGAAGGCCTGGGGACCCCATTGATCAGGGGGTTCCCAAGGTCTTTCTCACATTCGGGCCTGGGGTCGTCTTCCTGGGGAAGCCGCAGCTCCCTTCCCGGTGGAGGGGCAGAACGCTGAGCTGACCTAGGGCTCCTGTCCCATAGCCTGGGTCCCGGCTGCAGCTCCAGGCCACCTCCATGCAGTCCTCGCCTTAGCAGAGAGCGCCCCCACGTGTCTTCCAGGGAAAACGCAGCATGTCACGAAACCTGTCCAGGAAGTCCCCTTGAGGCACTCCCTCTGGAGGACTCCGGGGCCCAAAGCTGCCTGGAGAGCAGAGCGGCTCCTTTCCTAAATTGCCTTGCGCAGGGCAAGGCAGGGAGTCATGGCCGGAGTCTTCGCTGAATGTGAGGCTGAGAACTTTGAGCCCGGCCAGCTGGCCACGCTCGCTGTGCAAAGGTCCGAGTCTGGTTGGAGGACAGCAGGGACATTCTGGTTGAACTCTAAGGCACCAAGGGCGTTCTCTGAACACACCATTCTCCGAGCGAGGGAGCAGGGCCTCATCTGGAGGGCACACACGCAAATGAGCTGCAGAAATGCATGCTGGGGCTCTCCAGGCCTGGCTCTCGCAGCCCTCATGCAGCGGCTCCCTGGTGGGCCAGCTCTTGCGGTGGCCAGGGTCTCTTGGTGGCATGCTGAAGGGCCCACTGGGCCTGGCTCAGAACTGTTGCCCAGCCAGGCTTCCCAGGGGATGGAGAGACGCGAGGCTGGGCTATCTCATGGCCACCTTCACGTCCCTGCATGTCTCCCCCAACCCCGCTTCAACCTCCACTTCCCTCCAGTGAGTGCCAGCCAGCCGGCCAAGGTCCTCCCCGCCTGCCAGCTCAGGCCGTTTCTGCCTCCGGAGTCCCAACACCAAAGACCCAGGGAGGGAGCACATCGGCCTGGCACGTCCTCCCAGGCCCTGCCTCGGGCTGCTGGCCCTGGCGAAGGCTTCTCTGCCGAGTACCCACAGCGAGAGCCACCACAGGCCCACGGGCACCCACTGTGTGCTCAGCTGCGAGGCTCCGAGGGCGCAGGTCCCAAGAGTGTCTTCCCGGGACACAGGGCGGGTGTTCTCCTCAGAACCGGGGGCAGAGCAGGCCCCAGCTGTGCGCCCTGACCCTGTACCTCCTCCAGGCAGCATTTCTGTGCCCTGACCACAAGCACAGCGACCACTGCTGTGAGGGGAGGCTTCTCTGCACTTGGAGCAGGAGTCAGCCCCTCTCCTGGGAACACCCAGCAGTCCTGGGGCTGTCGTGAGCCGCCCTGCACATGGGTGTCACAGCCCTGGCTCTGGCGGGTGACACTCCAGCTGTAGCGCTGACCACGGCAGGGCGCGGACCCCGCTAGAGAGGTCGGCAATGCAGCGCTGAGGAATGGAAACTCACACTGTGTGCCCAGGTCAGGCAACACGGGTCGTAACGCTCTGAGAGGCTCCTGGAGACGGGCGTCCACGTGGGCCCACGTCAGATCACATCAGCAGGCAACATGGAAGGAAGCAACGCCTACAGAGAAAAACCTCCTGACATCCCATCAGATCACACCACGGTCGAGGAAAGGCCACCTCCCTGCCAGCTGCCGTGACACATCAAAGACATGGTATCCCACAGGTGGTCACAGCCCCACAGCCTCCTGCAGTGCCCCGAGGAAGATGCAGCTTCATGTGCACAGATCACGTGCCCTGACTTGACGCACTGAGGAGGTCATGGCATCATGTATGTAGACCGTTATGTTTGGTGTGATGCATGAAGCAGGTGACGTCCTCTACGCAGTGTCCAACTGAATACAGCGGCCCTACATGAACCATCGAGCTAATGACAAAGCGGTCCTGAGCACCCACAGGGACGACAGAGAGTGGGGGTCGGGAGCACCACAGTGACGGGACGACACAGAGCATAGCAGTGGCGCCACGGAGCCCTCCGGGCAGAGTGCACACGGAAGGCACCTAGGAGGCTTGGCACCCTGGGCGACCACTGGAGGTCTCGGCAGACAGGCCAGCACTGCCCGCTCTCCGGGAGGCTGCAGACAGACACAGCAGCACTGGACGAGACAGCCCATGACCAGAGCCAGCCTCCAGATCAGAAGGACCACAAACCCCGCGTGACCATGGCGCACAGCCATTTCAGAGGGGGACCCCTGCCGACGCGTGGCCTACACGGCTCTCAGGCTGCCCTGCGTCCCTCGGGTGCAGGCAGACGTCGGGTGTGCGGTCGCACCACTGAGCCACCCCGTTGTCAAACCACGTGTGTGTCAAGGGGGAGAGTCCGTCACCCTGGGGGAGGCTGCCACGCAGACGTGGCTGTGCTCGCTGTCGAACACTTCCAAGGCGTCACTGCTTCTCGAAGCTGAGGTGTGGAGCGCCCACCCCTGCGCAGCGATGTCGAGCAGAGTGGGGCTGAGGGGGTGACAGGAGTCTGGCCAAGGTGCTCCCGCCTGTCAGGAACCCTGATGTCACACGGATGTGGGACAAAAAGAGCATGGGGTCGGTGGGTGAACTGCGTCTACACTCCAGGGCAGCTCAGGCCAGCCGTGCCCACCGTGTCCAGGGCAGGCAGGCAGCAAGCCGGTGTCCTAGGGTTCCTGAGCCCCCACCTGGAGCCCGGGGAGGGAGCACTGAAGACAGAGACAGCCCCACCACGAGGCCCGGTGACGCTGTAACCCTCCCTCCCAGCAGGACTTCAGGCAAACCAGGGCCTGTGACCAGCCACACGGATCAGGCTCCTGACTGCCGCGCTGTGGGGCCGGCCGTTGGTGTTGGTCTTGACGGGGAACAAGCTGGCTCACCGTGGACCCCTGCCGCTGGGCCAGAGATAGAGACAGGGCCGGCAGGCGGTCCCTGGGAAGCAGGATTCTTGTCTCGGCGCTGGTCTCTATGGCCAGGAACCTCTGCTCCTAGAGGGACACAGAAGTACCAGCACCTGGTGGACTGCGTCTCACACTGCCGACCACAGGGCCGCGAGGGCCCGCCCTACAGGCAGGTGACTGTCCTCGTCACCTGGGCAAACAGAGCTAAGACCAGAGGGAACAGGCAGGGGCATGGCTGCAGTCAGGGGCTCTCTGGGGACCTCGTCTCCCCAGGTCCAGGGAAGAGCCAGGGGATGCCTCTGGAGACAGCTCCGGGCAGCGAGGCGGGGCCCGGCTGCCAGGTGAGGCCCTGTAAGCAGCAGCGGCATATGCGGAGGGCACGAGCCGGGGCTGGGTTACAACGTGCTGGGTGCCTCTCTGACCTGCCGCTGGGCGTGCTCCTGAGTGGAAGCCACTGTGGCTTGGAAATACACCCCGACTTCTCTGCCAGAGGCAGCCATAGCCCTGAGCCACTCCCAGGGTTATTCTCTGATGGGGTAAGGGGAGGGAGAAGTGGAACAAGGCCAGTGGTTTTCTGATGTTATCAGCCAAAGGTGTGGGCCTCCTGGTGACCTGTGGCCCTGCGTGAGCTCTCTCATCTTCCCGGGGCTTGCTTTGGCTAACAGTTTCCTTTTAACCAACACCGCCCTGCGCCCTGCGGTGGTGACGCATGGAGGCAGAATTCTGTCCCTGCAGCACCAGCACAAGGGCTGTGTCTCCGCTGTGGTGACAGGTCACTGTGCCGCTCAGACCTGGCCGCTCCCTTTGAGCAAAGGCAGGGCGGCGGCTCTGCACGGTTTTCACCGCCTCTGAGCACAGGTCTCTGCTGGCCCGCTCTCCCCCCACTTCCAGCAGTTTATCGGGGTTCCCAGTGGTTAGGCCTAAAGACCCCTGATGAACTCAGAATGGCTCGAAGGGAGGCTGGACCGGACAGAATGGGTGGCACCAACCCAGGGACGCCATGTACACTATGGGAAGAGGATGGGGAGCCTGCACCTCAGGTCGGCCAGAGGCTCGGGCCTGTATCTATCTGGAGTCTGGCGTGAGAGTCTACAGGGGGGACCAATGTGCTCCGCAGTGGTGGTGTGGCCCCCCAGGCCCCCACAGATGTACCACCTGCACAAGACGTCCTTCCTCGGACACTGCAGGCTGCGCCCCGCCAGGCTGCAAGGCAGAGGCGGCAGCCGAGGTCTGCAGAAGAAGGCGTGCTGCAGCAGACAGGCCTCCGGGTTTCTGGGAAGCAGCAGCCTCGCTAATACTAACAAAGACAACGGGGGCCGGTGGCCCCAAGGAGCTGCAGCATGCTGGGGCACGAGACGCTGCTTCTGCTCAGCCCTTTGGGCCCATGGTGGCTTCCCAACACCTGTTTCTTTTTTTTAAAAAAAAGATTTTTACTATAGGTCGCATACACTCATCAGAAAGAGACAGAAAACGGGAAGTCACCCTGAGGGGGGATGGCCACGCTGCAATCCCTTATCCTCCATTTTACTCTAGGGATTTTGGGCATGCAAGCACATGCGCCTGGTATGAGGTTTAAGCCACCAGGTCCAGGACTCGAACCGCAGTCGACTACATGGGAGTCCAGTGATGTAACCATCATGCCATCTGCTGGTCCCATGATCTCTTGGTTTCTACACAGAACCCCCGACCCAGGGATGGGCACGCCTTCTGCCTTTGCTGCCACAGGCCCTGTATGGCCCAACCACAGCCTGCCCGCCTCGCCAGTGGCTTGCCCTCCCCAGCGCTCGCCTGCGAGGCCTGGGCGCCATCGGCACTGTTCTCTCTCCAGGGATGAGCGTGGCCAGCCCACGCCAGGCAATGGAGTTCCAGGACTGGTTTGGGAGCAGACTGCCCAGGCCTGACCAGGACATACAGGGCAGCGTCCTGGCCAGTCGCTGTCCTCGAGAGTGGGCACACGTCGGTCAGCAAAGCCACACACTGCGAGTGGCACTGTGTGAAGCGTGGCTCCCACCTCTGGACTGTGTTATGGGGAGGCAGCTACAGCCACTCCGGTGCACGGGAACAGGGCACACGAACCACTGAAGACAGACAGACAGCACCGCCAGAGACCCAGAGCTCGGTCTGACCAGGCAGATTCCAACTGCCCCTACTCAGTAAGATGAGGGTACCCCGGCTTCCAAGCGGCTCACGAAACTACTCTGCTGTGGGTTTCCTGGCCAAATGCGCTAACATTTGTTTCTTCTCACTGAAAGTCCAGATCTTCGACAAGGCTGTGTGTGTGAGGGCGACAGCTTCGTCCCACTTGTTCTTCTCCGGGCTTGTGTAAACCGCCAGGTTCTCAGTGTACTGCAGGAGCCACTTTAAGAACCTGTTAAGAAGGAGTAAGTCAGATCTCCTCCCCACTACAAACTCCAGTGTCAGGGACCAGCAGTTGGCGTAATGGCTGTGTCACTGGACTCCCACGTAGTCGACTGTGGTTCGAGCCCCGGACCCGGCGGCTTAAACTCACACCGGGCGCGTGTGCATGCGTGCCCAAGATCCCGAGAGGAGAATGGAGGAGAAGGGATTGCGGCGTGGCCATCCCCCCTGGGGGTGATTTCTCACTTTCTGTCTCTCTGTCTGTCTCTCTCTTTTTGGAGAGCTCATGCGCCCTATAGCATAAACCTCTCCAAAAATAAAAAAAAAATTAAAAATAACCCCAATGTCACTTAAGTGTCTTTTCTTCATTCTCAAAAGTATTTCTACAGTAAAGCTCTACTTCATTTTTGAATGACAACTTGAGGAAATGAAAAATGAAAAAATACAAGATGAAAATAATAGAAGGCAAGTCAGAGGGAAAGAACACACAGACATGCTAGCCACTGGGACAGCAGCACCAGCGGCCCAACCCCACAGCGCCCCCGGGTCCAGAGAAGACGTCCTGCAATACGGACCGGATGTCGGGAGGGCGCGGGCGTGTGGCCCAAACTCCCCCTGGCTGCCTGCACTGCCGAGAAACACGCGTGGGACCCTGGCAGTGTCTGCTCTGCCCTCATCTGTCCATGACCTCGCAGGGGGCAAGTGCCACTCATGACAGCCACTGTTCTTAGAGAGCTCTCCTCAGGGAACAGCAGGTGGCATAGTGGATAAGGCACTAGACTCCGTCATGTCAATAGCAGTTCGAGTCCCAGACCCGGCAGCTTGAAAACCATACCGGGGGCATATGCACGTGTACCCCAAATCCAGGCGGTGAGAAGGGAGGGACTGTGGCGTGGCCATCCCTGGGGCTGATTTCTCACTTCCCCTCTCACGGTCTCTAGCAAGCACACACGCCCTATGTCAACCCCTACAGATACTCATCAGAATGCAGCAGCAGCTCTCCGAGAGCAGTTTTACCCTTCCATGTCCTCACGTTTCCCCGCACTTTAAAACTTTCCCCAACTTATTCTCTTAAAAATTTTTAGTATTGAAGAAGTTAAAATAACAACACAGGCGTGACACTGACAGAGTGGTGAGATGCAACGCCGCACCTCAGAGGGCCGGCCCACAGAGAAGGTTCCAGCTCACAGCCAGAGACCTCCCTGAGCACCCAGGGACCGTGGGGTGCATGAGCTAGGCTTGTTGCAGCTGGGCGGGTGGCGGCATGAAGACTGCTGGGGGTGCTGTCTCTGCCTGTCGAGGTTTTGCTCACGAAAGGATGAGCCTGAAAGACGACACCGGCAGGCAGACCTCTGTGTAGAGAAGACTACCCTGGGGTTGGATCCCAACACAGAGAGACTACCCTGGGGTCGGATCCCCGCCTAGAGAAGTCTACACCGATGGTTGGATCTCCACTTGGAGAGACGACCCTAGGTCGGATCCCCCCTAGATTAGACTACCCTGGGTCGGATCCCCCTAGATTAGACTACCCTGGGTCGGATCCCCCTAGATTAGACTACCCTGGGTCGGATCCCCCTAGATTAGACTACCCTGGGGCGGATCCCCCTAGATTAGACTACCCTGGGTCGGATCCCCCTAGATTAGACTACCCTGGGGCGGATCCCCCTAGATTAGACTACCCCGGGGTCGGATCCCCCTAGATTAGAGGACCCTGGGTTG